TTGTTTTATTAATGTATTTGTCGTGTTACCTTCAGTGCTCCGGTCTCATACCTCCAGGATTGTGGCTTTGATTGTTTCTCTGCATTTTACATTTAAGGCAAATAGTCTTTCCTGCTGCATGTAAGTGATTTACTCTTTAGCATCAATAATGTATATCTAATCCCTCTGTTCTGTCCTCACTTCAGAATTTCCTGCGCTTTCTTCAGCTAAGCAGACAGATAACTTGTCCTTGCACTCCCGTGTTTGAACGGCTTTATTAGACAGTGCGTCAGGAGCCGAGTAAAACCACAACACAATAATAAATGCAATAAGTATAAGGAAATCACGTACATGTCACAGTGGTACAATGAGCATTTCTTATAGATTAAACCAAGTACTGGAGCAACGCAAATCAAACAAAACGGCCACTTAAATACTATTATAACCTCCCCGTAATCTAAATAATCATAAAATTCGGTCAAACAAGGTTTAGTTCAGATTATACTTACAGACGATGCCCCGAAACGTAATTGCTTGCCAGATAAACTTAAATGCACCCTTTTACAGCCTTGTACAATATATCCATTTATCTCGTACTGTGACCCAGAAGGATAAGTGGTTTGGAAAATGGATGGATGAACCAACTTCGCACAAAGAGACGTAGCGATTTCAAAAAGAAGTGCTGCTAAGGATCAACACAATTAAGAGCTCCCCCTACGTGCCGGGAGCGATTAACATCAACACAACAGCCAGAACACCCTCTGTTTCTCTGCTTGTCTGACTCTCTGTTGTTCCTTCCCTTGGTTCTGTGTCTATAAATTTTGAATTTTCTCCCCATTTTTGACTCCCAATTTCTCCAGCTTCCTTGGTTTCCTCACACAGTCCAAAAACACATAGTAGGCTCCACATTTCCCTATGTGTGTGGTTTTTTTTGGGGGGGGGGGAGGTGTGTACAAAGGTCTGATGTCCTGTCCTGAGTGTGCCCCCCCGCCTTGTGATTCCTGGGACTGTGACCCTCTGTAGGATTATAGAGGATGGATGTGTGACTGGACAGTGTCTGTAAACTGTATCCTGAATGTATTCAGTTATGTACTATATTATAATGGATTAATGCTGTGCCTGTTCCACACTACAGTGATATACTATACTACTGTGTTATAAATGCCATGTAATAATTAGTGAACTTAATGTTTGTCATTTATATATAATACATATTATACTTTAGGACTGCAGCATATTTGTGGGGTGTCTGGCTCCCTGGTTTTCATCATAAGTCTGGTGCTGATCATAGTTTGCGTGAAATATTGCAGGAAGTCATCAGGTGAGAATTTGTAAGGCCTCAATATTATCTATTGGTGTTTATGTAAATTTATCCTCTTTTGTTTGTTTCGCAATATAACACACATATATCATGACTGTCTGATAAAAAACATGTATGTCCTTTCTTTGATGATTGTGACTTACTATAGAGTGCACTATAGTGCACTATAGATGGAATTTGCCCACCCATCTCTGTCTGCTGATAGCATGTGACATCTAATTGACCAATGACAACATGTGTTATAAAGTCATCTATATAAGTATTACTTATGTCTGTACTTGTTAACATTTTTATTCATGATGCTCTTCTGCATGTGTGAGTGAATGGTGCATGAGTGTACTCTCATTGTATGCTCTGGACCCCCCCGCGACCCTGAATAGGACAAGCAGGTACAGAAAATGGATGGATGGGTCTTCTGTATGAATTACTTTATATAGCCAATTTTGACAACTTAATATTGATAGCTAACAAAGTAACATAATTATTAACTGTGAATGCCAATGAATGTGTTCATATCGGCCCTGTGTGTATTCTTGTAGGTCAACAGAAAAAAGAAGAGGAACCATTTTACTGTGATATTAGATCAGAAGACGTGTGTGCAGGTCAGTGACGATGGTCTCCATCCTCTGACCGTGTGCCTCTGTACTTGTTGACGCCTTTGTCTTTCATCCAGGAGATACAGACCAACCTCCCGCCATTTTTGAAGAGGTCAGTCATGCCACAGAAACAGCAGGTGAGTTCTGGTGAATGTGTTCCCTTATGGACCTGGCACTAATCCAGATTAGGGATGGACATTTAAGACAGAATTACTAGTCACATTTCGCCAGTCGTCATTCAAATAATATTCGATTAACTCCTTCCTACGCCCAACACAAAGATGAATGTCTTCTGGCGATCAGTTATTGTTCACTTGTTTGCTCACTTATTTTTGGTAAATTTCTCACAAACATGCCACATAATGAGTGAGCAATGGTGAAAATAATTGTGATTTGCTTGGAGAGCACTTCTAGAGTATATTAATGCTAAATAATATTTAAAATAGCTTACTTGATTTTTTAAATTCTATGTATGTTATTGAATTTTTCAATGTTCAGATGCTGACTCATCTTAATCAAGTTATCCATTATGTCCTAAACACACTGAAACAATCACACTTATCTTTTGTTCTAGGTGCTCAAGAACATGCATTTTATTCTGCTGTTCGGTTGAAGTCTTATGATTGAGCTGGTATCATAAATACTTTTTGTATCATTGAGCTTTTAGCACAGAATATGGTTCTTATGGTAATTTTATGTTATTTGCTAAATTATCATTTATTATATCTCAGCTATAGACTTATATGCATTGTATATTTTGAGCACTTTGAGATTTTTGGTAATGTAAAGTGCAGTATAAATAAAATGTATTATTATTATTATTTATATTTTATTAACATCTGCATTGATGGAAAATGTGAGCAGTTCTTTACTTGTTCTTTTTATATCTTGCTCTGTTCACTTGGTTTTCAACTAAATAACTGGTTGAATGTTTGTGGCTTGAGAGTGACACAGAAACATCAAAGAACTTGTCGCTTTAGGGAGAAGCATCGGCTAAATAAGTGCAAAGGTAACTATATTTTTATAAGTGTGGCTCAGTGTGACCTGCGCTGTCGCTGAGCGATTCAGTGGTTTTGGTATCTTTGACAATAATCGACACACCATAGCCTCTGGCCTGTGGGTAACACTGTCATGCAACAACCACACAATGTTCTGCTGACGTCTTTTAAAAGTAATTCCGCTAAAGTTACTTTGTTCCCACGCTTGTGATCAACAATGATTCTTCTAGCAAGCTTTGTTTTTCTTTAGATTCATCCCTCTATTCATTATTCTTTCATTTCTCCCTATATTCCCAGTCTCAGCCACCATCCCACAGCATGACACCACTGCCACCCTGCTTCCCAGTAGTGATTCTGGGCCATCAGCAGTGGGCTTTTGAGTTTATTCATTCTAAATGATGACGTCTTCATTTCTACCTTTCCATTCTGTTTCGTAGAGGTTATTTACTGATGTACCTTTACTCCAGGCTCAGCCAGTGAAGCTTGTAGATCTTTCAGACTGGTTGCTGGCCTCTCCATGGTCTTCCTTACAAGCCTCCTTCCCATTCAGACAATTATTGTGCTGCTCGAGATCTTTTTTAACTGCTGTCTGGGTGCCAGTCCCATCTCTGCTCTCTGAGTGTGCAGTTCCCCTGTGTTGGGTGGGTTACTTCCCGCAGTCGAAACACAGACAGTAATGCTAATTGGCATCTATTAGGGATGTGGATCTCCATCTCTAACAACAGCAGTGGAGGACTGAAGATGAGACAGTGCACTTGAGAAACAGTGTAGAGAGGGAGAATCGATCTAAATGTAAAATTGTTGGTCACATTTCTAAATAATAAAGGCATTTAGGGCTTCTGCTAATAACTAAATATTAATGTAACCGTGGCTATGGGCTGCCTTCCCACTCGATACCTGCAGTGGACAGGGCAGGTCAGGCCTGGGACCCTCACACGGTGGCACTCTGTTGTGTTTTGGTATGTTGGTGATGTGATGTGATGTGACATGGTGACCCTCCTCTTTTGGGGAGTGCAATAAGACGGGAGAGGTGGGTGCTGGTGAATACAGTCTGGAGGAGAATATGAGGTAAACAACAAAATAAAGGTAAAGACGGGCTTGTAGGCTTAAATCTAAACAAATGACTTAAAAAGGAAAAAAACAAAATGTGGACTGTATGAGAGATTAATCCTCCCTTTCTCATAAACATAAGAACGAGTTTGTGTTTCCTCTCCCTTCACAAAGGAAAACTTGTTTTTGTGTGCAACAGTTTACATTAGTCACAAATTAAACTGTTCATTGTTATCTCCATAAAACATGGACAAATACAACAAAATTATAACCAATAATATTTAAGCAGTTAATGCTTAGTTATACTTTTTCACCCCGAAATAACTCCCTGCTAACTTTACCACAGCGGGCACTGCGACGTGTTGAGCTATATACAAATTTATAAAGAGCTAAACATATTACATTTAATCAAAATCTTTTAAATCTTTATGCCGGTGCACTGATGCGAATCGAGGAATCTCACCATCACTGGCATTTAGACAGTGACCATTGTGAGTGAGCCCTGCAGTGGACTGGCATCGTACCCAGGGTGTACCCCAGCCTTGTACCCCAGCCTTGTACCCCAGCCTTGTACCCCAGCCTTGTGCCCCCTACTGCCTGGGATGGGCTGCAGGCCCACAGGGACCCTGACCAGGATAAGCAGTTATTCAATGGATGGATGCATGGACAGAGAAATAAAGATATTCAGAACCAACAGTCAAACTGGCTACCAAAGAAATATGTGACGGAAAAGGAACCTGAGATACTAATTATGGGCCCTTTATCTGAAATGTGATTTTAATTGCTGTTCAGTGTTGTGGGTTGGCTGTATGTCTACGTTTTTGAAGCCATTTACTCAGTTGAATACAGGGCTTTACACGTTAAAATAGTCTTGTATTATTTTAATAGTATGCATTGTGCAGAATGTTCAGTGTAGGATAGGTATTTAGGTTTTTGGGCAGTGGAGTAACTTATACGTCTCCAATGTGATAAATCTGAGTAGCTTTTGGTTGTGTAATTGTCCATGTTTTAAGGTGTAATAAATGAAACCTGAATATAAATGATGTGTGTGCTTTGTTGATGATTTTTCTTAGTGGCTTCAGAAGACTACAGCTCTCTGTGGAGTGTAGCGACACCACCTGGACATTGTTGGAAAAACATGTAGACTGTAGATGTCCAGTAAATGAGGGCTTCAGTACCGGGTTGGACAGTGAGTAAAAATCAGCTCTGAACTTTGGGTGTTTCCCGCGATAAAAACAATAAATAAAAAATTGCTACCCCACATTCCTATTGGCCAGTGCCCAGTACAGCAGATGGCCAGTCCAGCCCTGGTTGGGTGGTGAGTGTGATCATTGTGGACCATCCGATTAGAATGTCCATAAAGAATCCAGACTCCCAGTAGAATATTTACATGTGTTAGTGTGTGGCTTCTGTCGAAAAGAGAAACAGTACAGAATATCAACATAGAAAGTACACATTTATGATTATCATAGCCAGGTCAGAAACAGTATTAAACTGAGGATGCACAAATATATATAATATAAATATCTAGCACGGTACCCAAATGCACAGGAAACATTACCATATTCTTGGTAGTTAGAAACAGCCTATTGAAAAAAAGTCACAGAAACGTGGAAACTTACATTCTTGTGGAAAATCAAACTTTTAAAATCCAAAATGGTAATTACAACATGTTCGCAATTCTTACTTGAATGCCTTCCTCACAGACTGGACGATTAAACAAATAAAGCAGCGCAACATTACAGTAACTAACAAGTAACAATAAATAAACCACTAACTTACGTGTACTATTACAGCATTTATGTAATTTACTTAGACTTTATTTTACCAGGTGAATTAACTGAAAACAAGTTCTCACTGCTTTAAGTGATCTCGGGAGAAATGGAAGATAACGCATTGGAACTGCCTGGGATACAAACGTCATGCGCGTGGCTAAACTCTTCAGCCAATAAGGGCAAAGTTGTGTCGTCACGGAGGCGGTTCCAGTGTGTGCAGCCGGTGTTCTGTCGAGTTGAGCTACTTTGTCGAGTTAGGCTACCGTAGTGCTAATCGATAGCCCTAACCCTAACTCTTACCCTAACCCCTCAAAAACCCATAAAACCCTTAACCCTAATCCTAAAACAGTAGAACTGCACATGTGCAGAAAGGCTCGATAGCGCGTCTCGATAGGTAGCTCAACACGTCAGAACACCGGCTGAGAGGTGCTTGTGGCTGCACGAACTGCGATCCTGGCCCGATATGCGAACGCCTGCGCACACTCGTTTATTTATATTACTAATAAATAATATTTCAACAGGTTAAAGAACTTGGACAGTTCTGGGCTTGGACCTCATTGGCCAACTTCGTTAAACTTCAAGACGCAATAAATATGTCTTAACCATGACAGATTTATTCACAAAGTGGGTCGTGGCTGAACCCTTGAATTCCAAGTCTGCATTTGAAGTTTCTGCAGCTATAATCGGAAAGATGCACACATTTGGTCTTGTCAGTAAAATCATAACAGACCAAGGAAAAGAGTTTGTCAATGAGGTACTAAGCGAAGAAATATTTTGGCCTATTGAAATGTTTTTGTTTACTTTCTTTTTAAAGATGGATACTGATTGCCAGTTTTTGCATTACGTCTCACTTCAAGTATTTTTAACATATGTCTACTAAGTTTGCAATGTTCCCTGCAAGAATCACTGTTAGCAGTATACAGATTAAATACTGACTTACACGGAATATCAGTGTGCACATGCATTCGCAGATCGGGCAGTCACAGTGCTGCGCGATCTGTCTTAGGTCGTCTTGCTCTCGCGAGGTTTTTGTACCATGTGACATGGTGACCATGATGCATTGCGTAAGGACCAGAATGCATTGCTTTAAACCAGCACCCATTGGTCTTTTGATGGGTTATGCTAATGCAGTTGCCCATTAACAAAAACAAAACGTGTGATACACTGAAGTATGTTACTACTGGTGGTCAAAAAGAGGTCGCTAGTTTGGGGTGTATAATGTATGTAAGTCGCGATTTCGATTTGAAATCGATAAATCGTTCAGCCCTACTGTTAATCTTTAAAAGTGATAGCTGATAGCTTAAAATAGTGGTAGTTAAAGCAGAAAATCCCATCATGAAAAGTATTTATTTCCCTGTTCATTTTTGTCTGCCTTCCAGGTGGTTGACGCGCCATATTTCCCGACGGGCGCTCTCTGTCCGCTGGTGGGAGTGTGCTCACCTGTTTGTGCGCG